GGAACGAGAGAGAGAGAGAGAGAGAGGCAGAATGTCTACCATAAGAGCCCGAACGCGCAGGGTGAAGTTAGATGACGGATGCCGAACAGACATGAATCATGATATGAAATTGTTGAGCTTGGAGAACTGTTGATAAGCTAATTCAAAACTTCGTCAAGTTCGTCAAGTTTTTCTGCTAATTCTTATATGCCATTATGTTTCTGGACCCTTCCCTGAACGGTGTTGTTTCTTTTATATTTGGTAAAGACAGAACAAAATAGACTTTTTGATTGAAAACCATTACTAATAGAATAGTTGGTATGATGATGATGAAGTGATGCAAAAGTTAGGTTTTTTTTACAGTGTTTTCAAGAGGTTGATAGTGAAGAAGAAATTCGTTACAGTCGAATACACTTTGAGAGAATTACTTGTTTATGGTGGAAGACAGTTTCACTCTTTACCACTATCTTGAAAAGAATCTTATTCATCGTTTTCAATGAGCAATAGTGCACTAGAAAAGTTCGAAATAACTTCGTGGGACTGATCGCCACTGACAAGGCATCCCTTCTAATCTTTCATTTCGGTATTGATCGGTACAGTCGCTCACCTGTGGTGGTGCTAAACGTTCAATATGTTTCATATTACCCGGTACAAAGTGTCCCTTCAAGTCATACAAATGATGTTTGTTATTTTCTTTGTGAGGAGTTCAATCTTTTATTTTACTCCTTTATTGCTTGGTTGATTAGTAAGCTTTAATCCAATTTGATTTCTGATAAAGTTGTTAACATTGGCACACACATGCTTTACATCTCTTGTAAAATGGTGTAGATAATGTATAGAATTTTGCAGTGTATGCAGTCGCTTCGTAATGTAATTTGAATCACAATCTCATGGCACTTGCATAAAGTTTTAGCACCATTCCCGGGAATGATTATAATTGGTGTACACTTATGTGTTTACTGTGGTAAGTGGATGGTGGAAAGGAACAGTCCATAATTACTGAAAGAATTTCCTAATAGTTATTGGTTGTTCATCCGTTTTGATTATTCAAAGCAAGTCGTTTGTTATGCAATTTCACCTTCTTCATGCAAAAATATCCTGGCCAGGATTTGCATCCATTTCCAAAGTTAAATTCATCGGTTACTACGTACCTTCCATTCCTTGTGCTGTAATTGTCCTTTTTGATAGCTTTCGTTTTTAGGTAATGCTGAATTGGAAGCATATCTACCAATACGACGGTATTTCATTGCTACTCTAGTTTATCTGATGGGTGATGAAAAAGAGTAATATGAGGTTTGCCCTCAGTGATCTATGTCGGAGAAGGATGATGAATAGGCATTCATATCTATTTGTAATCGTGCATGCTGCAAAAGACGTAAAACATGAGTTGCGAAATGTTGCAGTTGAGGTGCAACGCCTGTGTGCTGTATTGCATGCTTGTATTTCACATCATGCAGTGATTCTGTTTACAATGCATATTCAGTCAAATCGACGACCTCCTAAGGCGTTCAAGGTTCAAGGAGAGGTACAACTTCAGGGAAGCAGCAGAGGGAACATGCAGCCACCAATGCTAATAGAGAAATGCATGCCTACCTACCATCCAGACAGCTTGAGCTGCTCCTGCCACTTGTCATTCGTCATCGTCGCCCAGTACCTTCCTTCTCTTTCGTTATCGTCCTCAGTATGCATTCTTCACCGATAGATTGTAGTAGCAGTAGCAGCTATAATCAAACATGCGGTACAAGTCACAATAGCTAATAGAGAAGGAAGAAGCATCTTCCTCTCATCCCTCCCATCCTTTTCACTTTTCTCTCCTTCTCTCCACATTAACTCTTCCGCCTCATCTTGTCGTCATTCTTCCCTACCCAATTCCTCTCTGTGTTTTCTTCAACTCTCTAGTAATAAGGGTTCCTATCAGCTGATCTAATTATAGGTGTCCTATAATTATTGTCATTGTTATTTATTATTATATTCCATTATGACTAATTATGCAACACCGATAATATTATACTTTAAAAGTGAAAATCGTTCCTGGTCTTACCTAGGCAACGATCTCGTTCATTTTTTTTTCTCTATAATTTATTTGTATTCAGATGCATTTTGTAACTCCTCTGTTTTTTATGGTATGTTATGGAATAATATACACCGCAGTGCAAGCAATTTTCAGTTAGTGCAGGAGCGGGGCTCCTTCCATCAGTTAATCATAATTTGTTTTGTACGGTTCTTTTTATTAAAGGCTCGGAAATGATCGCGGAAAAAAAAAACCAACTCACGACCTACAGTCTAATATGAAGCAAGCCTGAATGTGTTATCCTTTTTCATCTCAATGAATCAATGATTATTACCCGTCATCTCCTTTCAAATTCATCTCTTCTTCCCCTTGTCACTTTTGATAGTTTACCTCCCAGATTACTGAATAGTGCAAATTGCTCATCTCCCTTTTTGTTTATGACTTTTGTCGCACTGAAAATATTTCGATTTTTTGGTGCTAATCATTTTTCATTCTAGGATTTCACATCCTTATCATATTTTCCGTCTCGTCCATATCCTGTTCTCATTTTTAAGTTTGTCCAATAGAAGCGAATTAAAATCCCTGATTATTGCTCAGTAGCGATGAGTTTCGGCCGAAATTTCATCCTAGAAATCTTCAATTTCATGTCATGTGATTTGTTTCAAATTCTGTTAGTCAAGGAATTTAAATCGCTTGGCCAGTTTTTTGAGTTTCAGAAATCCTCTTTTATCTCTTTTATCCTCTTTTAGTCGCTCACAACATATTTGATTTGTTATATCGATTATGTCGTAAAGCATCGACAACAATAATGCTTATAAATCAATCGAAACAGTCCAGAAATTTCGATTTATCAACTTTACATACACTCTTAAGGAAATGAAAATGAGTGAATGACAGATCTTTGGTCCATGAGTTTTCTCATTCCATCAAGGCACTTGCTAAAAAAGACAACGTTTTTCTAAAATGGCATTGGAAAAGTGAAAAAAAAGTTACACACCGCTGTTGATCATTTTAACGCAAATTCCACTGAGCCTTTTACTCTCGACTGTTTTATTTTTCAAGAACGAATAAGGAAGTTTTCGAGTCTTTCTCTATATAGCACTTTGATTTAGTGTACTACAATGCATAGTTTGAGAAAGTCAGCCGGTTTTTGGTCAGTCACATTTGATTTTCGGCTGTCCGACCGTGGAATGTACAAGAAGGATTGAATCATCTGCTGCGAAACTTTTGCTAAACTTTTAAATATATGTCTCTCTTCGATTTTTTTTACCTTTTCTTCCTTTTTAATTAGCTTTGCTTAGGAAAATTCATAACTGACAGCTTTTTTATGCAACAAAAGATAAATGCCAAAACAAATGTATTATGCATAGTCTGCAAAAGCCAACCTTTTGAGTTTCAGCAAACGTAGGTAATTATTAACCACTTTGTTAAAATCTTATAGTTGATATCTTTGTGCTGCTGCCAAATATTCATTATAACTGCTAATCAATTAGACATAGTAGGTGAGAGTTACATTTTTTTCTTATCTCATACTCATTGCTGCGTTTTTGTATGTTTTTTAGTCTGAGATATTTTTTTATGATTAAGGGATGGAGTGAAGATGATGGTCATAGTTCCTTTAAATCATTAATTGGCTTATGTGACGCGTCTTGCTTTTAAACATATATTCATTTAAAAATGATGACATATAATAGAATAGATACTGGATATGTAAACATTTTGGGGCTATTTATAAGGCAAGTCCCAATTTTACGATTATGCATTTATTAAGCTCGTTGCATATTTCATTACCGAAGTGATGCTATATAGAACGCAGAATGTTTAGTACAGTTCGTCGTATTTCGACCTCGTCTTGTACTTCGAGTTTTCCTTTGGCTGCTCATTCAGAGCCAATATTGAAATATGAAAAAAAGTTATACGTTACTGCGAATGATTTGATACAAATCCCACTGTGCTTTTTGCCTTTAACCGTTTTATTTTTCCAGGAACGACCGAGAAAGTTTTCGAATCTTTGCCGCATAATCGTATATTTCCTAAGTTTTCTTGCTTACACATTTCTCCGATTTGTTATTCTGAGGGAAATTCCACGGCCCTCGGTTTTCAATGAAAAAAACCGATGAATCGAACAATCAATCACAGGAAGGTTCTTCGTTGGTAATTCATGGCTTACGGCGTTTCAGTGTACGACAGGGAACAAGCAACAATTCTTTAAACTGCAAAGGTATAGAAGTGTCCGGTACCTCGAAGTCTTTATACCAGAACGGTGAAGTTTTGGATTCGTGGCACAATGCAGAAGACGATGTGAGTGCAACTCCTTTTTGGAATCATGATGATATGGAAAGAACGAGAAATGACATTTCCTTACTCAAAAGTGTTGTTACAAATAGTTATACTGGCATGACGCCTGGCAGCAGCATGAATTCGAGTGAAGTAAACCATAGCAGAGCAGATGGAACAACTTCACAACGACTGCAAAAATTCGTTCCATGTGGTTATGCTCCTAATCGCTTCCCAGTAACTCTTACTTCTATACCTCGTTCATGTTGGCCAAAAACCTGTTATGGGGATCCAGCCCATACTTTTTCCGGTACCATTACTTTGCCTTCTACAAGAATTGTTCCTGCTTCTTCGTCTACGACGCAGTCAGTACCGTCTACATCCGGTCTTGGTACATTATCAGCTAACGAACAGATTATTTATCCAAAGTCGCCGTCAACATCCAACAGTGGTCCTCGTAACAAATCCCAGACACTACTGGTCGGGTTACTTCGTCGAATTAATAATGGTACTAGTACTTCCAGTGTGTTAGAGGCCGAGCATAAAAAAATCAGCAAAATTGATTTAGGAAGCGAATTTTTCTATCGGAAATTATCTTTTCCGAAATATAGTGCTGTGAAAGAGTGTACCAGTGCTGATAGCAGAAAGTCACAGAAAGAAAAACTCGATAAAAAAGGTGCTGTGGAAGGTGCTAACAGTAGGCGTGATACACTGTTAATTTGGTCAGTATCTAAGGATAAAGGTGATTATCTTTTTTTGGACTTCGCTACTTTTCCTCTATATATGGCGCAAGCTTATGATTTTCATTGCTATTTTAACCTACTCAAACTTGGCTTCATTAAAAATTTTAAGCTTTGGTGCTGTTGCTAAGTCGTTTACTTCACCAGAGCAGACCTAAGTGCCTTTTGACGATGCGGTATTAACAGACACTGTGGCAGGTGGTATGGGGTTCTTCTACCTTATCTCAGAGGTATTCCAATAAAGCACATGGATACTCGAATTAAATTTTTTTTCCTATGAAAAAAAGGAAGAACAAATGAACCCTTTTCCCGAAATACGTGAAAAAAATGGTACAAATGGTATATCATTTTTTGTTCGTTTTGCAATTTAGAGTAATTTAATGCAAATGATGTTATTTTAATCACTTAATTGCATTTCTTCCGTGTTGCATGTTTTTACACGATTTTATCAGTTTTTCAAAATAATCGTCACTTTCCCGGTTATGACATTTTGTTTCATGGGAATTTCATGCTGAATTGAAAGCGATTAGTTGTGTAGGTTTCAATTTATAAACAGCAGTTGTGATTTACTGCTTGAAATTGAATTATTGCTATTTACCGGCATTCTTGGAATTCAAGAAAGTGGATTTGTTAAAGACTTGTGTTACCTGGAATTACGATACCAACTGAGACAGTGTTAACAGTGGTAGTCGAGCTAAGAGATGAAATTCGGCACTATAGCATTTCAAAACACCGTGGATTTAGTATCATATTTCTACCCTTCTTTCTCCTTAAGATTCATTTCTGCTCACTGTAGTTCTTTATTTTTTCATATTTTAATCCGTAATTTAACTTGTTTCTATAATTTCAGTTTTTTGTAATTTCCAAAATTTTTCACCAGAATTTCAGCAGGGAAAGGACTGAGTGTAGGATTTTTTACATACGAGTAAAAAAGACTAAAAGGCTAGACTATTTCGTTTGAGCGCTGCTCATAATTTCATTTGGTTATTGTAGCGGTTTTGAAATTCAGTAAAATTTTGGAACTGGTAAATGAGTTGAATGAGTTCAAGTAAATGAGTTGAATAACACGTAAAAAGATGCCAATCATTCTTGTTTTTTAAATATTTTTGATTCGATTTCACATGAATTGATGAAATACCACATTTTCGTATTTCAAATACCTCTCAAATATCTAATCTCTTCCAGAATTTTAGAAGCAGAAAATATCCGAAATAAATCGTCGAAAAGTTTTTTGTCACGTGGCAAGCCGCACATGCCTAAATTTCTTCAGTCATTTTGCTGTTGTATACGATCCGAAACTGCTATTAAAGGTTCCTTTCAATTTTTTTTCGACAGCCATAACAAAAATGTTGAACCAATAATAAAGTGAGTTATAGAATCACTTTTCACAAGAAATTTCCGAAAATTCAAGTAATTTTCATCAAATCTTCGCCATAACATTTGTTGTAGTATTTCTAAGTAAGGAAAACAGCATCAATCGTTATGGTGTTCACTTTCATCTCTTACTACGCTGTTTAGTTTGTAGTTGCTAGAGACTTTTGTATTCAACATTATAATTTTTTAGCAAAACGACGAATACTTCATTCGGTCCCCTCAACTTCAACTCCACAGTCACTGATTACTCAGGTAACAAAAAATTCTCAAAACGGGACAAACATAAACGGAACAAGTGTCAGTGTGAATGATTCCTATTCAGCTGATAGTTATAATGATACCAGAGAATACGTTCCTATGGTCAGTTTTCTTTTCGCTTAACTACGGTTACTAGATTTTTTAAAATTTCTTTAAAGTTGTACTACTGCTAGTTGGTAGTAAGGAATATTTAAGTTCTTTTGAAATTTTCGGTTCGGCTGGATTTCTTGAAATTTAGCTGTTGTTTAAAATTCCGAAATTCACTATTCTCTACCTTTAGATTAGAATAAAACTAGTCAAGATCCTATTCAGAATAAAGATTGGCCAGCGCGCATATTATTCATTTGGAATAATTTTTAATTAAAAAAATTTTCGAGTTTTTCTCTTCAAAAACAATGTTTTGAAATTTTTTAAATAATTATAATTAATTGAAAGTTAGATTAAAAATGAAAAAAACATTAATTAGAAATAATATTTCACACAGTAAGTCAAAAAATTTATGTTCTTTCTTCGGTATCCAATGTTTGGAAAAAAGAAAAGTTGTTAGCAATTGGTGTGCTGTTGTATGAGGAACGTTTTTTCACGTTGATATGGATTAAGCTTTAGGTGAATAATGGATTTTTCAATATTTATATGACCGAACTCAATATAATTACTGTACTATATGTGCGTCCATATGTATCTGCCTGTATGATGTGGGTATCCATTACATACGGTACGTACGGTCTATTTCGTTCAACTGTTCCAGAAAGCTTACCCTTTTCATTCACAGTATGGACTGAAGCAATCTCATGGGGTACATCTAGCGTTGGTCAGGAATAATCGTTAATTCTATCCTCTTACAAGCTGATCTTAGCGTCCCCGACTTTTCTATTTTTTTTTTTATCACTTCTGAGTATTTGAAGACGGTTCATATGATAATTGAATTGATTGACACTTTTTAAACAGTCTTATTTATGATTAGTTACTCTTCTAGCAAGTGATAAAAAAATTCATTTTCATTTCGATTCAACTTTTTTTGTTTTGTTTCGAGTTTCATTCTCAGTGGAGGCTTGGTTTTTTTTTAGAACTTTATTTGACCGGTTCTCACATTGAAATTTCTTTAAAAAAATGGAGTATATTTCTCATTTTGACCTACTTCTTGCAGATAACTTCATAGGATGGTAATTTTTAACATTTCTTACATTAATCAGTTATCATTTGCTGTTTCCGTTACTTCCTATGACATTTTCTTCTAATTGGTTTTTTTTTTTTAAATCGTCCTTTTTTGAGTATCAGGAAAATTTCACTTTCTGAAAAATTTTTTTTCAAAACCCAGCGCGCGGAACTTAAGAAATAGTACAAAGAAAGTGAATAAAAGGTTTTGGTGAGATAATATTTCACTTGAAATACGTCTTTGCCTCATTTCTTGATATGCTTCTTGTTCACAGACTGTTTCATTTAAAGGTTGGATTAGACACAATTATTTTGCTAGATCAGCAGATAAAATGGGAAGCATTTAGTGAAGCATCAGAGCCAAACAAATCTGATTTGCTGAATTTTATACTCTAAGAGATTAAATTTAATTACCTACGCCCAACGTAGTGGAGCAGCAGCATTTTTGATTGTTTGTTCTGTTCTTGATAGTGTGAAGGTAAATTTTGTTGATGGGCTGAGCAGTTCCATCCTTTTGCATTGCTATTTTTCCCGCGCTGCGAGCTTTTTTGTTCCATTTCATTCTGTCCTGCAACCGCATGTCACTTCAATGTCATCATCATTAGTAGAAGAGAAAATCGGTCATATGGGAGGATGCTTGACAGCAAATATTTCTTGAACTGTTTCAAGTCCTCTTTTCCTCTGTTTTAAGAGGCAACGATGTGGGCAATTAGTGAATTGATCTGTAGTTTTATCGATAACAAATCTGAATTAAAAGTAAGTTGCTTCCCTTTTCATTTGTCGAACTTTTTGAAAAGTTAGAACTGGTTTCGGATTAAGGATGAATGGGTGAAAGGTCCTATATCATCAGTTTTTTGAAGAGACCACGTGCAGAATGTCAATGTCATCGTTTGAATGAAGCAGATAAATTTAATCTTCGGTGGGAGCCCAAAATTTCAAGTATTTGCCGAAGTTCCATGCGACAACGTGTTTTTTATATTCTTACGCTGTGGTGATAGTGACATATGCTGCGCTTTACTATCGTTAGGTATAATTAAATTTATCTTCCCTCAATGGAATTTAAATATTTGGTGAGTGAAAGCTTTTTTGCTAACGCGAAGTTTTCAACGTTTGAGCCAAAGTAAATTCATCCGGAATTTCATTTGGCACTATTCATTATATAAATCATAGTTGTGATAGAAAGCAGTCAAAAAAAAGTGCTCAATGGAAGCAGTCTTGTTCTTTCGAAAGGATTTTACATCAGGTACCTGCCAAGACATTGTTTTTCAAGTTTTAAACCGTTTAATCTGTTTGTTTTGATTAATGGTAATGCAGCAGTTTTCATGTATTTGGGAATTAATCCTTCTCTTTTGCACTGCGCATCCTCTAATTTCCGGAATCTCATAGAAGTTATCTGTGGAAAATATATGGAATAAAATAAAATAATATATTGAAATGAAATTTTTTGGTGCAGAGACTCGGAGTTCATAATTTCACTACTGCGCGGTCTTCTGTTTACGAAATGTAGATGAGCACATGCTTGTGATGCTGTTTTTGTTGTCCAGCAGCGGAATAGAATAGAAATATTAGAAAGCATAACGCCGTACCATGGAACTGGATTAAAAATCTTTAGTTTGTCAATGTAATAAAAAGTAGAAATTCCTTTAACAAAGAATTTTTTCGTTTCGAAGGAAAAACATTTACATCATTTTTTACATTATTTGGTTTGTCTTTTCAGGATCATAAAAAAGCTTGCGTGTAGTGTTTCTGAACACAATCTACTATCCAGAAGCATGGAAGTGTAGAGAACATTATGTCAGACATCGTAAATTTTAGACGTTAAATAAGAGGAAAAAAAGGAAATACTTAGCATTTTTAGACGGAAAATTTAGTAAGAATCAAACAAATATTAATTTTGGTAAGTTGGAATTCAAAAGAAAAAAATTGAGCTTAAGGAATAGCAAGTAGTTTACTTATTGAATAAAGTTTACTTATTATTTCTATAATATCTGATTCAAAGCATAGACTGTTTTCATTTTTTTCCATTTTAGCCATCTAAATTGTTGTAGTATAGTTTCTGGTTATCTGGACCAGGTGTATCGGGATATCAGTAATGATGAATAACTAGTAATTAACTGCGCCTCTAACTTGATTGCAAGTAAACTTCATTAAAACGATATAGTCAACTTCTCGCTCAAATTTCCATTTTTACATTTTGTTTTAATATTTTTCAATCCTACATCATTCAGTACTTCAAGTGGCGATACCCCACTTCTTTTGCGATACTTTATAAATGACTCATGCTCATTTCTTGTCCCAAACACCTTCCAGTTTCAACTTTAACTTTGAGATGTAAGGGAATTCGGTATCAGTGAAAGGAGTGAGTGAAGCATAACTTTTCGTGGTAGCCAGATGATGGGTTTGGCAGCTTTTCGAATATTTTGAAAGAATTGAAGAAGATTTAGTTTATATATTGTTTTTGAAATCGAAATATTTATCCGAAAAAAAGATGAAATTTCAGCAGCTCTGCGACAAATTGCTACTACCTCCAGTGCGTCCGTGTGATGGAGATAAAAAATGTCTCATTATTGATTTGGATGAAACATTGGTGCATTCTTCTTTCAAGGTGAATTTTAGCATATTAACATCTACTTAATTTAGATTAAGGGTAATTCGTTTTGGGTCTGATGTAAACCCATAAGTCGAATAATATCCGTGTTGTTCTGTGAATTCAGATTTGATTCGTTGTAGAAAGTTATAAGTTCGAAGCTTTGAAGGTGATGCCTGTGACTACGACATTTGTTTTACGCTTAATACAAGAATGAAAACTTCAAAGTCCTTTTTAATTTTTTTGTTTCGATTTCCTGTGCATTGCGGACTTTTTGAAAAGGATGGATGATTTTTATCTTTTTGAAACGCCTGTTTTCAATTAAATATATTTCAGCCGGTGAAGAATCCCGACTTTATAATACCGGTTGAGATCGATAATGTTATTCATCAAGTTTATGTATTGAAACGGCCTTATGTGGATGAGTTTCTAGAAAGGATAGGTGACAAGTTTGAGTGTGTATTGTTCACAGCCAGTCTTGCCAAAGTACTTTTTTCCTAAGCTTGTGGTTTATTTTTTCCTGAGAATTGATGGAGAGAAATGTGCAACATTATAAAAACGTCTTTTAGAGATCGACCATCCTGAGAACCGTATAAAAGTATTGTTAAAGAATATTTTTGAAAATAAAATGAGAGGAAAAAAGCACATGTGGTGTTGCACATTTTTAACAAAGATAATGAAGAATGTTACCTCAGTTATCTTCTAATTGAGATAAATATGAATTGGCAAACATTTGATAGCATTACATTATTGTTTATAAGTGCTAACTTTCAATTAATGTGGCAGACTGATTTTTATAAATTTCATATTTTTTGCGGATGAGTGATTCTCGTAATTTCTATATTTTCCTTACTGCTACGATCTTTTTATCGCTGTATGTAAAAAACAAGGCATGAAAAAGCTGACAAAATCATCCACTAAGCAGGGTTCAACACTATTAATGAATGACAAATAATGTAGTCGAGATGAATAAATTGTTCTTTAAGTAATGATTCCAAACTATTAATGGATTTCAGTATGCCGATCCAGTTGCTGATTTCTTGGATAAAAGAGGTGTGTTTCGTGCACGACTATTTCGAGAATCTTGCGTTTTTCATAAGGGTAATTACGTCAAGGTTAGTTTTAATTATTTTTATCCGTCAATCATTTCCGAGGCATGTTTTTCCCGTACTTATTTGAAATATATTTTATATTATACTCCAAAAATGTTTGTAAATATTGGGGCAGGTAGAACTGTGTCTTATCATAGTTTGCAAATAATCGCTTTCTTATTTTGCACATTTTCTTTAGAAGCTTAAATTTTACTGCTGAGAGGAAATATAGTAGGATTGGGTTTTCTGCTCGCCATCTCATTTACTGTTTAATTTTCAGGATTTAACAAGGCTTGGGCGCGATTTAAAAAAAGTGATCATTGTGGATAATTCACCGGCTAGCTACGCTTTTCACCCCGATAATGCAGTATGTTTCCTACTTCATCTTTTTTTTTCATTGTCTAGTGGTGGGGAAACATTTTCATTTTTGACGCTGTGATCTTCCCCTATTTAGAAAGATAAATTTAAACCTTAAAAAGATTTATTGAATATTGGTAATTTTTCGGATTGTAAAAAAAAATTCATCGTTCATTCTGTCGCAAAGTTTTTTTTTTTTTACTACATCCCTCCTCCCGCACCCTTCCCCCCGACCATCCCTTAGTTTACCATAACCGTTCAAACCATCATCGTTGCATTGCTACGATTATAGCTATCAATACCCAATATCAAAAACGCCCTTTCTCCTTCTCCCTCCAAACCAAAAATTTCTCTTCCCTCGTCCTGCTATATTTCAGCAAATCTATCATATACAAAACCGTTCCCTTCTTCTTCTCTCAACTCCCCAAAAATGAAAACACATATTCTAATCATTGAAAAGCTTTGCCTTTCACATAACAAA